GGACGGACGGACGGACGGACGGACGGACGATCATGCGATTCTACAAGCTGCATCTGACTATGTCAGATGAGCTAAAAATCCTGGCTACGCCACTGTTTTTGGGTGTTTTCTGATCATATTATTATGTGATTGAAAATAGGATATTTTGGGATATTTTTTGGGACAACCCGATTTGATGCCGGGGTTGTCCGCAGGACAACCACATTTTTTTTCTTATTTCGAGCACTGTTATAATATATCACTTACAACCTCTTAATTTCAACATCCAGCAATAACCAACAGCTACCACCAGTTGACATAAAAAGTTTACATTTTTGTGTAAACCTGACACATGCAGGTATATATAAGAGCCTTGCTATATAGCCGCAGCAGGTTCTCTTATCAAGAATTCTAAAGCATTTTCAGACAGGTTGCATCACATCTTGGGAATCAATCAAAGTGCACATCACATTAACCAGCACATGTACCACATTACAATCTTGATTACAGTTTTGATTTTCAAAGATCGATTTTTATATGGCAACATTCTGCACATTGCCAGTTTTGTGCATCACATGTTCCGTCACAGTGTGCTACACCATGTAGGCTGTAGATACCAATGAGCATAACGGGCGCGATATGGACTGGTACATAAACAAGGTATTAACCATGCAGCATTACTATTACAATCAAACAGTACTAACACAATCAGACGCTGAGACAGTGAAAATGTGTAACTACTGTGTAAAGGCAAACAGGCTGCCTATTGTTTGCATTAGTAGCCTACCTGTGACATTACCATTATTACTATAATGCGATCATAATCAGTAATAAGTTGAAAAATGCAATTGTAACAAGTACTATTATTAGTACTTTGCCGGCAAGGCCAAGGGAGTTACCACAGGCACTTGGAACGTCTCACTAAAAAAAAGGTAAATAAACACGAAATGTATTTACTACCAAAGTCTTAATGTTTCTCTACTCTATTTCGCCTATATTCACCTATTATATAAATGCCGGTCAAATGCTCATCTGCAACACACAAGTACACTGCACGCTAGCTGCTGCAGACTGACACATAAATATATAGCAGGTAGGAAAGCGCACTGCCAAAATTCGCTCGACGCTCGCTTGATTTCATACGAATACAACACAAATATTCAACCATTCTACTCCATCTTTGTTTCTATTTGAAGAACAGTGTTCACTTGTTATAAAAACCTATTGTCTGTGTTGGTAACCAAGCTGTGTCATGCGAAATTACACAAAGCCTGACGAAATTCTCGCGTTCGCTCCCGTTGTGCAGTTTATGTTAATAGTAAATAGACTTTGGTAGTTACTAGTAGTAGTAAATAGATTTCGTATATATTTAGCATCATATTTTATTGAAACACTCCAAGTCCAAGTGCCTGTGGTAGTTACGCTGAGAGTGACTGCTACCAGGACCGTACCCCGAACGTACCCTGGGTACGGTCCAGTATATCGGAACGTACCCTGGTACTATCTAATATAGTAATATGCCGGACCGTACCTCGCCTACTCCACTATAGAGTCTAGGGAGTCGCCTACGCCTACTTCCTAACCCTAACCATATCAAATAATGACCAGGGTACGTTCCGGTATACCGGACCGTACTTTCGGTCCCCCCACTCCGAGGTCGGAGGGACCGCATGCGCGTTCCCAAAATCCCTGGTAAAGGGGTATTTTTCGCGCGACAAAATCCGGCCCAAGAATTGTAAAAAAGGGGGTGTATTTGACTTTTCACCCGGAGATCTCTTTAAAAAAGGGGTGGTTTTCCTCTCTCTCTTTCATCTTGAATATCATAGAAAACTTTATCAAATCCCGGGATCAAATTCCTGCTAGTTTTGAAAGCTTATTCAGGATTTTTCATTTTGAAAAGTAAAAATATTGCCCCTTAGTTCCCGATTAGGAGGTGTTCCGGATTTAAGGGGGTCTCCAAGGCAGGAAAAACCCGCAAAAAGCCCGCGAAAGGGGGGTTCAGAAATTTTGGTAGTCCTGAGATAGGGGGGTGCTTTCAAAGGGAGGGAACGAGCATAAGCGTACCCTAAATAACACTGAGTGGGGGGCCCGGGACCGTACCCAGGGTACGTTCCGGCAGTACCTTGGGGGACATAGACCCGGCGCAAATCCACTTTAGGCACCTTAGGTATCACGAAGTGATGCACAGATTTCTGTGTATCATCAACTAATGCAGACTTTCCGTATATCAAGGAATGATGCAAAAACCCTAACCCTAACCCTAAGTCATAAAGTATAAACTTAGGTATCACGAAGTGTGTTAAGGTTAGGGTTACTGGTTAGGGTTACTGGACGATCTGCAGCCGGATATCCGCGCGAAGCGCTCAAACGCCGCGTAGCGGCCACTTTTGCAATTTCGCTGCCCTCTTCCCAACGCAAGTACTCAGTTCCTTTCCTAGGGTTAGCTTGAAGCCGGCTTTTCGCTCTCATCGGCAGTTCTGCGCATTGCACGAGGATCGCACTACCCATTAGGTAAAGAGACGGGCTAGAAAAGCTCCAATCTGTGTTCGGCTACAAGGGGCGCTTCCTTGCGTAATAACGAGTTTTTTTGTTACATGTAACAATAATAATAGCGCTATAATGCCTGTACGTGACTGCTGAGGCTTAGAGGATCCGATATAGAGGAAACAATACAACATGTCCCATTCGCTAATCGTAAACAATCAGTTACAGGTTAGTTTCATTGTCACTCTATCTGCATGTAATCTCTGCATAGCTTACACCCTCAATCAAATCTAATACGATTTCAACATGGG